GGAGGGCCAGGTCAGGACATGATATTTAGTTATGCATTTGTAGGCTACTCAATCATGCCTCAGTTATCATACCTCAGGCATACCAATGACACAGAAGCTTCTTTTTACAAATCCATTTTATACCTGCCAAGCTCTCCTTTCTTTTTTGTCATGTGTCTAGCTCAGGAGTGGTTGGATTCAGAAGCAATGGCACTGGAAGGATGGTGGAGAAGGCTAGAGAAACACACACTTTCAGTCAAAGGTTGCAGTGGCATGTCTACAGTAAACAATGTAATGACGTGTATAATAAAAAATAGAGCCAGTGTGGAGTAGTGGTTTGAGTGTTGGACTATGACTCTAGACTCCAGGGTTCAAGTCACAGCTCAGCCATGAAACCCACTGAACCCATGAAACCTTGGGCAAGCCACATGCTCTCAGAGGAAGGCAATGGCAAACCTCCTCTGAACAAATCTTGCCAAGAAAACACCATGATAGGTTCACCTTAAGAGTCACCATAAGTCAGAAATGAAGGCACACCACAACCAATATAATAAAAACAAAAAAGGGATTTAACTCTACAGATAGTCCTACAGGAACCATGTGTGACTATCTACAACAGGCAAGATAAACAGCTGCTGCCTCCAGGATACCTTACTGAACATGCATGAGCACCAAAACAGAGTGAGCAGATAAAGTCTGCTTCGCAGCTCCCCCCAGCATGTTAAAAAACAAAACCATAGATATCTCAGTCTGACTTCCAAAATGAAAATCATAAGTGGAGGCTGGTAAAATAAAAAAAAAAATCCCTGGATACATTTTGGAAGAAAGTTTCAAGTGATGTCTAGAAGACTCACACTCTTTTTTTTTTTTTTAATGCAATACTTACCAGACCTGGCTGTTTCATTTCACATGTGCATATGGTTAGTTTTGTATAAAAAGTTTACTGAAATCTGTTGGGCTGGTCTTCTTTTTTGTGGCGCACAAGCCCATCCCTATTCTTTCCATACTATTTCTGCCTCTGGTACCAAATTTTCAGTTAAAGAGTTGATGTCCCAGTACAGAACTACTTTGCTAACTGAGGCATACTTGTATAAGATCTCCACAGAAATTCTTGAAAGATTTAGCATCCTGATCTACTTGGTGGTCATTCTAAATACAACAGCCAGGGTTTTATTTTTGTCCCAAAGTCAAGACTTCTAGACTAATCTGAAGTATTAGACATCCCATTCATCAAATTTATTTAGAATAAACAAACAGTCACCCCCTGTGAAAGCAAAGTGCATGCCACAACCAAGAGAGGAGGTTATTTAGAAATCTTCATTTGAGTCATGAAAGAACCAGGCATGCTATAATATAAGCAGAACTGCACATGCTCAGGTAAGGACTTGGAAAGAGTGTGTGGAACGACGCAGGAAAAAAATCCCATGAGGATCTGCTGAAGTGGATGGATTGTGCTATATGTTTTACAGAATTTGTTACAGATAAATCAACATCAATGGTTTTTACCCGTTAGACATTCTCTGGGGATGCTCAATCAAGACACAATCCTAATTATGAAAAGAAGTCTTGAGAAGAAATGCAATTTGCAATTGTGGTACCAGGCATCCCACAGGAAATATATGAAAAGTACCAAGGTAATCTTTATAAATTGTCACTAACCAGCAAAAAGAAAAACAACTGATATATAATGGATAGATGTAAATTAAATTCCCACTAGACAGGTTACATTTATTAGTCATATGGAAAAAGCTGAAATCTCATGTCAGTTTTAACAATGCACATGCTTCAGTTTCACATGCACATTAGATTCTGTACTGATGAGCTCTTAACACCTATCCAAGTATAACTATCTCCTCAGAAACACCAGAAAAACATAGTAAACTATCACTTCATCATCTCTTTAATTATCTCCCCATGTTGTGAATGTTTTCCCTCCTAGTCTTTGTTTAATAACAATTAAGATTTAGTGACCTTGGATAAATCAATACATAATAGGCAATAATTACCTCAGATCAATATGTAATATGGAAACATTATAAAGCTGACTGCTTAATAAGGAACAATATTCACATTATGTCCTCTTTCCAGCATCGGTCTTTATTGTGATAGGAAAGCTCTCGCTTTCAACAATTAATAATTTAATTATCTGGGGTCACATGTATTGTATGTTTCTATCTTAGGAACCTCTAAATTGAAATGATCATGTAGCAGCTGATGGAAAAGAACTCGGTCTCATCTGGGGAATCACTACTGATTAGTCAAAGCAGATGATATGAGGCTAGATATCTCACCATTTTTCACCATTTGTAAAGCTGTTGGGAAGTGAAATCCAACCACATCTGGAGAGCTGCATGATTCCTACCCATGGACAAAGAGTTGATATTATGGTTGACATTAGCCATAGGATTTGTTGTTGTTGATTACCGTCAAGTCAACCAACTTATGACAACGCTATCAGTGAAAGACCTCCAAGTCACTCTACCGCAGGGGTGGGCAACCTTTCCCCTTTAAGGGCCGAGGGACTTCAGCTCCCAGAAGCCTCAGCCATGTTGGGCAATAGTCCCATGTTGGCCAACAGCTCCTGGGATTCTGGGAGCTGAAGTCCCTCGGCCCTTAAAGGGGAAAGGTTGCCTACCCCTGCTCTACCGTTTACTCAGTTCAGGTCTTGCAGATTCAAGGTTATGGCTTCCTTGATTTTCCTACTGCCTTCTACATTACCAAGCATTATTGTCTTTACTAATGAGTCATGTTTTCTCATTATATGGTCAAAGTACAACAGCCTCAGTTTAGTCATCTTAGCTTCTAGGAAGAATTCAGACTTGATTTGCTCTAGGACTCATTTATTGATCTTTTTAGCAGTCCATGGTATCTGTAGAACTCTTCTTCAGCACCACCTTTCAAATGAGTTGATTTTCTTCCTATCAGCTTTCTTCACTGCCCAGCTTTCACGACCATACATAAAAATGGCAAATACAATGGCATGGACAATCCTAACTTTGGTATTCAATGACAGATGCACATACACATAGGATACACATATCCTATTGCTAAAGTTTATTCTCAGGTTCTGGAACAACAAATATAACTTCTGTGCTCACAGATTTTTGAAAAATTAATATAAGATGTAACATTTCTCAACTAATATTGAAAATATTTTTAAGGAATCTAAATGCAAAGAAATACATTTGTACATAATGTTCCAGATGTCTCACATGGGGTGCTGTGGAGATAGGTAGGCACAGTCCGCCTGTACTATCTGCTTCCTTTCACAACAGGATATAACAAAAGATATGACTCCAAATAAAGCACACAGCTGCTGCTCCTTCTCTGATTTACTGCACCTCGCTGGACTTTTGCTGGACTTTTATCCTCTTTGACAAGGATTGGTGTAGAGAGAAAGACCAGTAGTGGTTGCACTGTGCCTGTGTGTTGTGGACTGAAGGAAGAATGATGAGGAGAGAAGAGGAAAAGGAGTAGATGGGACCATAGGAGGTGAAAACGAGGAGAGGACCATGTTCCATGAAAGAAATAAGAAAGGTTGGGGTATGGGGCAATAGTAGATGGAGAGGATGAAAGCTAGCCAGCAGAAAAAGATACTAAGAAATTTGAGTGTCACAGACAAATGTGGGTGAGGCAGAGATTTAGTTGGCTGGCACAAAAGAAAGATATTTATTTGTTGAGCTGGAGCCCAATATACTTTTGTTTCAAATATTTGTTTGGAGCTTAGACCATACCTCTCCCTGGTACTCAGTTTCTTGGACAACTTACTACTTTCAGTCTCATCACTCTTCTTTTGGGAATGTATGGCTTGTTACTGGCTATCCTCACTCATGCCCATCATGGCAGCCTTTTTGTGACAGCACTCACAATATTCTCTCATAGTCCCAAATATACCTGCCCCCCCAAAAAAGGTTGAGGACTCCTAGTGTAATACTAAACGTGTTTTTCCAAGAGGTAAGCAGAGGCACAAAATGAGACAGCACAAAACTCAAAATAATGGCTAATATTTAAACAGACATGATAAAAAAGACAAGGAAAGAAAAGGAAAACAAGGAAACAGATGTGTATAAAAGGGCCAGATGGGCCCATTCACACTATGGAAATATAGCACAATTATTCCATTTTAACTGCCATTTTCCCATTCTATGGAATCCTGAGATTGGCAATTGAGGGAGGGATATTTAGAATTCTCAGCCAGTGAGCTCTAGTGCCTCACCAAACTATAAACCCAGGAATCAATAGGATAGAACCATGGCAGTTAAAATGATGTAACAGTGCTATAGTTCCATAGTATGAATGGACCCCTGGTAAAGTGATCTTGAAAAAAAATCTGAAATGAAGAGCCATATGGCAGTCCCAATAAGATCCAAGGAGGTTTTTTCTCTCCTCTGCTCCACATAATTCACTAGTACTAGTTGGGGAATGGAAAAATTGATGCTATTATGACAGGACAGGACAGATGACCATATCCACAGATTCTTTATCCATGGATTCAAGCATCCACGGTTTAAACTATTTTAAAAATATATAAAGCAAGCGTCGATTTTTCCATTTTATACAAGGAACCCTATTTTACTATACATTGTATATAATGGGACATGAACACCCATGGATCTTGGTATCCATGGGGTGTCCTGGAACTAAACCCCACTGGATACCAAGGGCCACTGTAGTAAATAATATTAGATGATAGGAAGTTGAGTATAAATGTGTCAGCAGCAGCACATGCAAAGTAATGTCCAATTTAGTTCTAAGAATTCAGGTTATTGACTTCCAAGAGTTTCATTGTTAAAAACACAACAGAAGCAACAACCAATAGTTAGGGATACTTCTACAATAAATTTGTTTGACTTTGAGACATCTCAACACTCTGTTCTCCAAATTAGCAGTCTTCAACCATAATTTTGAACAATAATTTGTTTCATCAGCGGCTGTAACACAAATTGATTTTTGATTAGCTCTAATTGTCCTTTTTAAAATAAAGATGTTCATTATGGCAGGACAAATGTGGCTAATTAATATAATAAAAAATAACACCAAATCTCACTTACCTGATGACAGCTGTTCCAGAACCACAGTCAAATCTGAACTCCACATAGCTGTTTGCCATGCTAATAGACAAGAAGTCTTTGCTGCCTGTGTCATAGCTGTACAAAAGGACACCATCCCCTGCATCTGGGCGAAATATGATCTCAAATTCCATGAAAGAAAGATAGTTCTGAGGTTCCAAAGGCCAGGAAATGATAGCAAAGGATTTCAAGGTCTCATTGAATTGAGGCATGATGAGAACGTAAGCTAGAAGAACAAGACAAAAAAAACCCAGCAAGAAATATGTTTCTTCAGCTCCTCTAGGAAGCAAGAGAGTTTCCTGTTGTTTTGCCATTTCTTAT